TCGGAAACCCATGAAAGGGTATTCAAGACTAAGAAATGGGTTTCCGAACCCTCGGAAACCCTTTTTCGTCGGTTTCCGAGAATTCCTATTTTTTTTTAGAGTGTAAGGTGACTACCCAGTCAGACAAAAAATTTCGAAAAACGCGTTTAAACGCACAATCGGGAACCGCGACTGTGATACATTCATGCCCATTAAAAAAATGCACCAAAACGCGTTTATTGGCGTTGTTTGTAAGTTTCTCGGTGTCAAAACGGCGAAAATTTCAGTTTTGAATCGTTAAAACGTATTGTTTTTAAGCTCTAGAATAATAGTGCGTTTTGACGCTCAATAACTGGAATTTCCGCCGTTTTGACGCCCAGAAAGTTACAAAAAACGCCAATAAACGCGTTTTCGTCCGTTTTTTCAATGAGCATGAATGGATCACATTCGCGGTTCCCGATTGTGCGTTTAAACGCGCTTTTTGAAATTTTTGTCTGACCGGGTAAGGAGACTAAGGGGACTAAGGCAACTAAGGGAACTAAGGTGACCAAGCGGACTAACTAAGAGGACAAAGGTGACTAAGGGGACTAACGGGACTAAGGGAACTAAGGGGACAAAGGGGACTAAGCGGACTAAGCGGAGTAACTAAGGGGACTAAGGGGACTAAGGGGACTAAGTGGAGTAAGGGGACTAAGGCGACTAAGCGGAGTGAGTAAGAGGAGTAAGGGGAGTAAGGGGACTAAGGCGACTAAGCGGAGTGAGTAAGAGGAGTAAGGGGGGTAAGAGAACTAAGGGCACTAAGGGGACTAAGTGAACTAAGGTGACTAAGCGGAGTAACTAAGGGAACTAAGGGGACTAAGTGGAGTAAGGGGACTAAGCGGACTAAGTGGTCTATGCGGACTAAGGTGACTAAGCGGACTAACTAAGATGACTAGGGGGACTAAGGAGAGTAAGGGGTCCTAGGGGACTAAGGGACTAGGGGAACTAAGGGGAGTAAGGGGACTAAGCGGACTAAGGGGAGTACGGGGACTAAGCGGACTAAGCCGACTAAGCGGACGAACTAAGGTGACTAAAGGGACTAAGGGGAGTAAGGGGACTAAGGTGACTAAGCGGACTAACTAAGGGGAGTAAGGGGACTAAGGTGACTAAGCGGACTAACTAAGGGGAGTAAGGGAACTAAGGGGAGTAAGGGGAGTAAGGGGACTAAGGGGAGTACGGGGCCTAAGGGGACTAAGCGGACTAAGGAGACTAAGGGGACTAAGGGGACTAAGGGGAGTAAGGGGACTAAGCGTACTAAGCGGACTAACTAAGGGGAGTAAGGGAACTAAGGGGAGTAAGGGGAGTACGGGGCCTAAGGGGACTAAGCGGACTAAGGAGACTAAGGGGACTAAGGGGACTAAGCGGACTAAGGAGACTAAGGGGACTAAGGGGAGTAAGGGGACTAAGGGGAGTAAGGGGACTAAGCGTACTAAGCGGACTAACTAAGGGGACTAAGGGGACTAAGGAGTCTAAGGGGAGTAAGGGGACTAAGCGGACTAAGAGGACTAGGGTGACTACGGAGACTAAAGGGACTTCCTTTAATCCCCTTAGTCCCCTTAGTCCCCTTAGATCCCTTAGTCCGTTTAGTCATCTTAGTCCCCTTAGTCCCCTTAGTTCCCTTAGTCCGTTTAGTCATCTTAGTCCCCTTAGTTAGGCTCCTTCGTCTCCTTAGTTAGTCCGCTTAGTCATCTTAGTCCTCTTAGTTAAGCTCCTTAGTCCCCTTAGTTAGGCCCCTTCGTCCCCTTAGTCCCCTTAGTTAGTCCGCTTAGTCACCTTAGTCCCCTAGTTAGTCCGATTAGTCCGCTTAGTCACCTTAGTCCCCT